CGAGTACTGTACGATTTTGGTATCACTTTGTTGTAAAATAAGAATGGTGAGTGGAGACATCCGAGACTCATAAATAATCTTTATGTACTGTGAAGTGATGTTCTTCCGTTCTCTTTATAACCTGCGGTAACTTTTGATATCATGATATACCCTGATGCGATACCTTCTTCATCATTCAGAACAGCTCAACTGCTGGAGACTTATTTACCATTATCAATTTGATGGTGCCAGTGAACCGGCCCTTTTCATGTTAAACTCTCAGTATTAGAATAAAATATTCATTTATTTATCAATGTGGATCAGGCCCTAAGTCACTTCCTAACATAATATATCACAGCGTGGTCTGCCCTCCGTCTGCTATTTGATAAATAATCAGGGTTTAGGTCCTGAACTCGTACTTCACAGATCAGACTGGCCATCGTGGTGGCCGTGTGGGTAACCGTCCTCTGAGCTCCCTCTAGCTGTTTCGAAACATCTTGTTGGCAGGGATTCGTCAGTGATATCCAGTTTACCGGCCAATACATAACCTAAGATGTGTAGTGGGTGATGAACCCATCGTCGCTTATCTTATTAACGTTCTGCGTAGTGCATGGACAGCTTTAAGAGTTGGGGCTGCAACTGACCGGCAGTGCACTGTGGCCTCTGGGTAATGAGCCGCCACGACACTGAGGTCGCTGTGGGAGGACGCTGAGCGTAGGAGAGCCCCACTGATTCCAGGGAGGAAAGCTGAGGATGGGCCCATATCTTTTGTCTCTCACCAACAAAGAACTTCTTTCCCCATGCAAGAAGGTTGGCAGGTGTTATGAAAGCTTCCAGTTTTTCATTTGAGTTGCCTGGAGTGAGGAACTCTGAAGAATTCTTCACTACGGTCTATCAAAACTACGCCTACATGTATCCGACCTTCCTTAGTCTTAACCCAACTTCCTCCGAAGATGAGGTTTATGAAGCAAAAGGATGTTTTGTGACGGCCATATTGTGGACAGGACAGTGGAATGTAGCCATCTTGGTAGACAGTAACGACTCTCTTGACTTTCCTTCCGGGGGTCTTAGCCACGGTGCCAATCAAGCTGATCAGTGGATCGTTTGATGGGCGCTGTCTGGGATGCACCTGGTTGACCGTAGCGCCCCTCCAGTCATATGGTAGCATGTATTGGCTCAGAGAGTCTGTTGGCCAGTGCGCCAGTTGCAGTGACTGCAAACTCTCAGGGCAGTCTTGGATGCGAATCATAGGGTCCCTCTCATTTTCTCAGGCTTGGACTAACGGCCCTCCTAAGAATCCTGCAGAAACCGGAGTTCTCAGGGTTTGTTCTGTCAGATATCAGCGTTTTTATTGCTGAATCTGTGTTTGTCAGAAATTCCTTAGTAGAAGCCTCCGCAAAATAACTGACCAGGACCTTCCCTATGTCCCTACCTTCTTCATTTATTGGGGTGATTTCCTTTCTTTCGATCTAGGTGTGAACATCCGGATGTTCTACTGCAGTCTGAGTGCGCTGCTTTCTGGAGCGTTTTCAGGACCCGAAGAAAGAGGCGACATTCATTCCAGGAGGTTTTGTAACGCTTCCCCACTCTAGGAGTTCCGCAGCCGGTAACAAGACCCCAGAACATTTTCTCCCACTGCAGTTGCCAGAAGATACACAGTTTACCTGCGTTTCTTCACCATCATTCGCTATGCTGCCAATTTTTGAGGATATCCAATTCATCATCTGTGTGAATATGAGACTGGTTAAACAGGCGAAATCAGTAGAGTTTGTTTCCTCGTGAGTGATTATACTATGAACCTTGTTTGGTTCTGCGATGCACCGGTTGTTTCTACCTTCTCCATCTTTTGGTAGCTAAAAGTATATTAAAGGTGAATCATGAAGATTATCTTCACCCTTCTGCAGGAGTAGATCAGAATAAAGCAAGTTATCTCAGTTCCTGTCAGTATACCTTAGTCAGAACTGACTTCTTCCTCACTCTTTCTATGTTGCCTGTTTTAAATGAGAGATTTGAAGTTGGGCTGTGATTTGAGCTGGTGCTGGTGCCAACTAGGTGACTCAAAGTAGAGGTAAAAGTGAAAAGTCGCAGTGGGCGAATTGCCAGCATTTCACCATATTTCAGCCATGACAACCAGTATTTCGTCTGGCCATTCACGGATAACTTGAAACTCTGGTTTTTGCGGACTTATCGACCAGATAACTTATAATTTGTCAATATTGGTAGATTAACACATATGTCATTGAGACACTACCCCATCAACTTCAAGTCTTACCTTGCATCAGTAATATTGTTCCACCTCTCATTGGTGCACCCCAGCCTTGGCGTTGCACGATAAGTTCTGGGTGTTTGATAACATTCTACGCAAGTAAATGCAGCACACCCTGCAGTGGGCTTTTTTTTATGTCTTCAGTCAGTCACGACTCTACCTAACCTCGTTCACTTGTCTTGAGTCCATCAGAACCTAAAGACGCTGTCTAACAAAACTGGAGATCAAGCACGCATCTGATACCTCGACTGTTCCGCCTAACTATAAATTGAAACAGTTTTCGCAGTCTATCAGGGTAAATTATCTTTTGTCCATATTCTCTGACAGTGTTCAATTTACAAAACACTCGTCTCATCTTCAGAAATTGCTCGATCGATTTAAATTCTGCTGGCTTATAAACATAGATCAAATATATCAGCCGATAAGCGAAATGATAAACAACCGCATGGTCCCTGGTTAGTCCAAGAAACAGCCAGCAGGAAAATCCACACAGCAAGTGGCATGACAACCAGAAGGGGCAGACATTCGTAGACTGCCTCATCAGGGCAAGCTGCCGGACCACTCCGGAAGAAATACTGGTAGTTTGCTTCACAATGGATCTGGAGCTGAGGACGTTACTTGGTAGGGCAACAAAAGCCTAAAGACCACGCCACCAAGCTCCGTGAACGCAACCTAACTAGAAAGTGAATATATTCAGAGGACAGGATGAAAACAAGAGGCAGCTGCAGAAAGAAAAATACCCATATTTACTGTGGATTGGAAAGGGGTACCGCAGACTTCCGTGTGCATGCAGGTTTTCCAGGTCAATGTGAATTACGGTAGACCATCCTCCAAGCAGCCACAAGCAAAAGTGTAGGCTACTTTCAAATCATCTACGGAGAGGTAGGGTTTTCTGCATTATACAGCAACAATCATACTAAGTTGACGGGGTCCCACCAGTTTTAACCAAGAATACCCTAGTGTCTCAATAATGACCTCAGAAAAAAAATCTATGCGGTCAAAAACCAACGACTTATTTTTCTACGGGTAGCAACCACGGGTAGGAGAGACGAGGGCTGAATGGCCCTCAGAAACTCTCTAATGCCGCGGGTCAAGCAGATGAAGTCTAAAACTGGACAGTTATTCCAAGCAGTCGGTTTACTTTCAGTCGCAGAGCTGGAACCCTAATCAGTCAGCTACCCTGACACAATTAGGATGAAAGTATGTGGGGGCTATCGATGGAAATGAGAAAGAGAAAACAGCAATCGTCGAAATGATACCGATTTGGAGTGCCTATACTCATAGGGTGCATATGACAGAACTGTGGTCTCCTCATTTAGAGGATGCTTTGATGCTGACCAGCCTCCTAGAAATGTGATGGCAGGTAGTTTTCGAACGAAGGTGCTGCTGGGAAATTCAGGTTTTGGTGACTTATTCGATAGAAGAGCAAGCAGTCTACGGTTGCTGTGAGTCTACCAGTTTCTGAAAGAACCATTTAAAGTTAGACATGGGCGCAAACCAAAAGATATCTTACCAAAGAGGCCATGGTCTGTCTCATGAAATTTTTGATTTTCCAAACTTGGCCTTGGTGTCGTTGTGCTTGGCAAACATTTTCACAGAAAAACTGAAAGAAATTGGCAAACAATCTGCAATCGTCCACGTATTGTGAAGTTAAACAACAACAGTGGCCTGCTCTCGAGGAAAAGGTCCTGTTAGTTTATATATCTAGAATGCATTGTGCTGAGGCGTGACTTCACGATGCATAAGACTGGATTTGTTCAGAGATTTATAGGGTAGACGATGAGGTTTTATGGAGTAATTCTGGGTCCGTTGTTGTTCCTGATGTTCGCCAGTGACCTCGCGCTGGATACCGGCTCTTCAGTTTTCATTTACGCTGGTGACATTAAGTTACGGACAGCATTAACACGCTGAGAGGAATCCAATGAACTACAGGACGACCTCGAAACACTTAAGGAGTGGGTGAAAAACGACGAATTGACATTTAACCTGGATGAGAGTTGGTCAGTATTTCTCCTCACTTCTGATCCACCGAAAGCATATGCTGTACTACACTTTGCATGCAGACAACTAGGTACCCTCAAGTCAGAGCCCCTTTCGAAACTCCGTGAGTCCTGCACACAATCGCTCCACCGTAACTGTAAAGAGGTAGGAACCTCCCGCAGAAAGTTCACAGGCGAGCCACAGTGGGTGTCGTAGGGATGCACCAGAAATAGTACGAGGACGGGCAAAAGGGCCTAATCCTGCATTCTTTTAGTTGACAAAGGCTACAAGGTAACCTGATAATGGCTTGCAAAATACTGTGTAGCTCAAGTCACGTAAACAGAAGAATGCAACCGAATGGCAACTATGGTGATCCTGGTGAAAACCAGAAGAGAACTTCCCTTCAAAGCTGAAAAAACTGCGTGTGTTCACACTTCGCTCCCCTACGAGTCTGCAGGAACTGGAATGCACCACCAGCAGAGGTGGTTTCCACCCAATCCTAGGCAAACTGACCAACACCCAACGACCTTTCGGATTTACCAGAGTTGTTGCAGACGAGTGGCTGGATCTACTGCAACGGAATCCACCAAAATTCTGGAACAGCTCCACAGGACCTATAAGCGAGCACGAGGAAACTGACTGGTTTACGCAAGCTCATTAAACAAATATTGGATATTGGATACGACCAGTGTTTGAATTGATAAAAGATGTACATGGAGTGAATGCTACATATTTAAGTGTTTTATCAGTGGTTCGTGACTTATAGGGTTGCAACATGGTTTACTCCAACGAAGAACTTTTTTCTAAAGTAGTTGAAATACTAAAGCCACTCGATCTGTCTGTGGTTGATTATGAGGAAATTTGTGAAAGAATGAATGAAGCTATGCGCTTGGGTCTGCAAAAGAGTACAAATGAAAAATCATCAATAAAAATGTTTCCATCTTACGTCACACGTACACCAAACGGCACAGGTATCGGAAAAAACTTTATTTTTATTTTGCTAGAGGTAGGAAACTATTTAGCTTTGGATCTTGGAGGAACAAATTATCGAGTTCTGTCAGTAACACTTGAAGGTAAAGGAAAGCACCCAAGAATTCAAGAGAGAACTTACAGTATTCCGGCTGAAAAAATGACGGGCTCTGGAGGCGATGTAAGACTGTCTTAAATTTTTTTCCGTTAAGTGATCGTAGGTGATTCTATATTTCTGTATTTACGAGCCTATTGAGTCATTAGGACTAACCATCATCATAGGTTTTTCAGTCACTGAAAGTTCTTCGTCCGATTGTGCTTCATCATTATTTCAACTCAGAACGATCAGATTAGGAGTTCGGTTTCTGCTTTTGGTTTTTCCAATGATTCTATACATCTTGATGAACTAGATTTTGTGGTAGTTCTAAGCAACATAATTTCTTTGAAAGTTGGCCAATACTTATGAAGAATTTAGCTAAGTATATCTTTACTTTTGTTCCTGGATATTGTGGTTAGATGTCACTGATTTCCTTCGGGCTTTCGAAGGTTCGCTGTAAGGAAGTAGTTTGTAAAAAACGTGCATGAGAAAAATTATCAATTAAGGTGCATAAAACAAAGTGTATTTTACTTCCAAAAACGACTAACAATCCGATAACGAAGAGTGGACGTTAAATATAACTTCCCATTATCTTAAATATCAACTAACATTTGTCATATAGATCATTTATTAAACAATCAACTTCATTATGCTTGAATGACCTAAACGGCATTTAAAGTTACCTAAACTTTCACCAGCTAGTTTACATAAAGGCTGTTTATGAAGTTCTGAATAAAATTTTCTTATCCAGTACTTGTACAGTATTTTCCTAACCTCGATAAAGTTTTCATTTGCGAGTACGAGGACGTTTGTATCGACTCTTTCTTTGGTCTTATTTTCACAAGTATTTCCCTTTAAGTGACACTTATATAAGAATACATTTAAAGATTTACCAAGTATCTAGATAGCAAAATAGACCTTTTTCGTATTTATTATTATTTATTATTAGTCCCTTGGGTTCCTAGTGGAACATAGGGCTTCCCTTTTTCGTATGAACACCGTTATTTATTCTACATCGATGCGTAGGTCAAATACTCGTTCTAGTCAAATATTAGTAGTTCTGGAGGTGTATAGAATTTTGATGTACAAGGTTTCACAACCTACTTTACTGAATACAAAGGGAAATTACTCTAAAATTCTGCGGTCTGATCTATAACTATTGTCTATTTAAACTGGTTAACTTGTTATTGATTTACACTGAGAAACAAAATCTTTTATATTCCAGTCAAGTAAGATTAGGCTAAACTCACTAAACATGGTGTGAAAATAAAGCTCACTGTCTCGTGATACTTTTTGCAAAAATGTGAATGATGTGTAGGACGGTTTGCACTTTGAGACGATCAAACCAGATCAAGAACAGGATGCTTTAGAGTTGAGCTTAGACTGAAGATACCTTTTGTGATAATCTGATAGAATATTGAAATTCCTTGTTTACAGGCTAATTTATACAACAGAGGTTGTTTGCTTATATTCTAAGCATTTGTTCACATCTATATTTGTTCATTTGTTTGCCTACAATACTTTTTCTAAGTTTATCAGGCAGTAATTAACTATTATAAAGAATTCACATACACATTTAACTGATTTAATAAAATCAGATCTTCATAATCTAACATATACCGGTTGCTTAAGAAACATATGTTGGAAGTAGTAATTTTAATACTAATAGTGTAGATCAGTTAAGATATTTTCTCTGGACTTCGATGCATTTTTGGAAGGTATTCAGGTGTTTCGTGGCATTAGGAATTCTTCTCGTTACTGATGTAAGGGAATTCCCGAATCGCAGCCTCTGTTGATAATTATAGTCTTCCGATGTTGGTTTTTAATCTCATTAGTTTCCCTGAAATCCTATTTATGTTATGAAGAAAATATTCTCGTGATGAACCATGTAACTTAACGTTACTTTCTGCGACACACCAATTGACCCTGTATTTATGTCATTTTAAAAGGAAAACCTTTTGGTGATAGTTGTGAGATAGAATTTCTTCGTTTAATTTGTTATTTTGCTGGTTTAGTTAACCCTTTTTTAAAGTTTTTACTAAGTATGAACATCGTGATTAGTGCCAGCGTTTTGAAGGCTGTGGGTGGTTTCCTTCGGTTGCTTACCTAATATAAAGATTACCCGATGCTAAATAGACATGAAACCCTTAAAACTTTCTGAACAACCTTTTACCATTTTCCCTGCAGCTTTTCAAATATATAGCTGAAACACTAGCTGACTTCCTGGACAATAATGGAATAAGACACAAAAAGTTCGAACTTGGGTTCACGTTCTCTTTCCCTTGTGTGCAGAAGGGTCTCACACACGCTACTTTAGTTAGATGGACTAAAGGTTTCACTGCTAGTGGTGTGGAAGGCAACAACGTGGCTGATTTACTGCAGGTTGCTCTTGATCAACTAGTAAGTGTTTCGTAATTTGAAGTCTTTTATAACGATACGAAGTTTATTACATATCGTCCCTATGCAGGGTTATTTGTTCACTAATTAAGACTTATTAAATATTACAAACATTTTGTTTATACTAGTGTTTGCAAGCTGAACCTCTGATTAAACACCTTGTAAACATACAGTTTAAAAATTTAACTGTTTTCGTTGGCACCTGTCTCTACACCAACCTAATTAAAACACTTGTTTAAACCTTAAAGCCCTGACAATCCAATTCACATACATGTTCATCAACATATCTGAACTACATAAGTGTTCGCATACTTGCCACAAATGGAAGAAGTTTTCGGCGTTGTAAAAGAGCACAGTTAGTTTTGATGTATGATAAAAAAGCTTTCATTTAGCTACTAAGTGGTAAACTTTAGAGGAGAAATATGTCTAGGAACGGTATTATGTGAGACACGCAACTGAACTCACGTTCTAATTTCAGCTCAATATCAAAATGGGACATGTATTACTGTATTACTGCATAAATGTTCAGGTCAGGATACCTCATGTCTGTGCTTTAAATAATGAGGCTTGAAGATGAAATTCAGAGAGATGGAAATTTTGTTACAAAATTTGAAGGGAGTCTTAGAGAGAACGAGGTGATAGAACAGTATGAAAACACACCATAGTTGTCAGAGTGACGATAATGTGTCAATGTAGTCACTTTTAAGAAGTATCAGCTAGAGTCTCCAGCTATTGATTTCGATCGTCCATATTTCTCTGGAATGGTTATCCAGAAGTTGGAGACTTCATATTCGGATGTTTAATTTTGGCCAGATTGAACCTTCTTCGTCTCAGATGAGAAGTTGGAATAGAAGGTGACTAGGTGTATGTAACATATACCTTAGCCTCTTGAGTCAATGACAGTTCACAACCTCATCATTCAAATGGCCTCTGTTAGTTGGAGCTGTATGCGTTACCTCTATATCACTAAATTATTGGTTCTGAAGCACACAGCCAATGTTTCTGAGGCAACGGAGATAATACACATGAAGCTTCCTCATCCAACTTGAATGGCTATGCTTCATGGCCATAAAGCAAGACAGAATAGATGTTGCACAGCATTCATTAGTGAAAAATCGGATATCTCGTCAACGTCCAAAGTGGTTCTTCCAATCGTGAACAGATTTTCTCGCCCAACTACTAATTATGGGTGAGCTGATTTATCAAGTAGGTGAAGTGGTCAATACACTGGAGGAGGAACTCTATGTTACTCATCTAGTCTGGTTAAGCATCATGGTACACAACACTGAACATGTCATAATATTTAGTTCCTTAATAGCCTTTTTTATTTGACGTAACATTCAGTCACAGAATACCGTTTACCGGATGGTGTTTTGAATATAATTTATCTTCTTTGATCACACCAGGGGGATTGATATTGTTATGAACAAATTGTGGTTAGAACATTATTCAGTTAATGATACTTTGTCGCTGTGTGCTTCATAAAGCAGACAATATAGTGTTGAACCACTGTTACATATCTAGGGCTGTTGATCTTAATTCACAGCATTTTAAGTGAAGAATAGCAGTGGACAAAATGCTTAAACGACAGTGAAGTAAAATAAAGCACAAATAACTTATTACGGTTCGTAAGCAAGAGTTAATTCGCCTCAGAGAACTGAGGTGCACGAAGAAGAAGAAATTCTAAAATAGAATGAAAAGTTTATGAAGAATGTAAGAAGCGTTTTAGCGTGTAACGCCTGATTAATAAAAGATGCAAATAGGTGTTTAAATTGTTCCATAAGTTATCAATAGTTTACTGGTTTCAGAAAAAGCTGAACGAGTAAAGTTTCGTTGTCTTGCTACACTTATGAGAAGGGCAGATTTAGACAAAAAAAGATTTATGATGATCACTTTGGTTATGATTCATAAAAAGTACAAGAAATTAAAGATGCTTCTTGTCTTTACGGCTGTAATTCCTAAATGCTTATTCAGATTGTACATGGCCTATCTGCATAAGTTTTGAGTTTCAGTTTTATGAATTATTAGATTTTTAAATACAAGTTAAACTAGCACAGTTGGGATTAATATTATTCACATTTGTGCTTTTCTCAGGGTCTCAATGTAAAGTGCGTTGCCGTTGTAAATGATACTGTTGGTACACTCGCTTCCTGTTCTCTCGAAGATCCTAAATGTGCAGTCGGGTTAATAGTGGGTGAGTCTTATGTTCACTGCAAAGCAATATAGAAAAATAAAACTTAACATATAAATGTAGTTTTCACTCACCTATTGTTACTCTTGCCCAATTTATTAATGCTGGATTTATTTATGCAAATTTTACTAAGTATTATAAATTAATTTGTAAGAAGGATACCTATCGAATACATTCCTACCAGAAAGGGCTTTATCCAAGTACTTTTCACATTAGTAAGTTTAACCAAATAGAAGTTTTTTTCAGTAAACATCAATGAAGCATACCCTCTTTTCTTATGGAACCTTTAGAAGTTCATCAGTTGATATTACTTCCTTTTCCCTCATTTTATGGAATAATATACAGTTGATGGGGGTGTCTGCAGTGATATAAAATAAGCGGATGCACTAGTAAAAAAAGAAATTTCATATGACAGTTTCTGGGGATAAAACCAGCTATTGTTCTTAAAAGAAAAGCAACAAACCTGAAGATGAAAGCTCCATATATATATATATATATATATATATATATATATATATATATATATATATGCACATAGATGCTGTTCAGTAGGAGTGAATAAAATATAACTGACAGTGTATTTTATTTGGGAAATAATCTTAACCCTAGAAGCATTTGGCTACTGTTAGTTATAAGTGAAATTCAATGGATAAAACGTCGAGTTGTCTTGGTGATTATATCTTTTATGGTGCGTTTACTTTTCAGAATTCTGACATTTAATGAATATGTTAGTTACTTGGGAACCCACTAAAACGGTAGCTGCTAGTTCTTTGACAACAAGGTGTGAAACTTTATACTGTAGGCTACTGCATATTCAAGTGAGTGTTACGGAAATATGCGTCAACAGACCCATCGTTCTTGACTAGATTATCATAAAAATGTTTAAGAATTCCAGTTACTAAACTGTTTATCTGAAACTAACTTTCAAAGCAAGCGTAATCAATTAAATTTTGATTGCTTCTAGTGTTCACATATTTTGATGATGAAGTAATTGTTCATAACAGTGATAATTTTATAAACGCTGCATATTACACCACACTAGTAACAATAAAAGTCGCTTGCATTATTTAGGTAAAGATACTTTTTAAAAAATCTCGGCTTGTAGTACATAAAATTATGCTCTTTTACCTTTCGCGTTTTGTAGGAACTGGTACCAATGTTGCATATATCGAGGAATCTTCAAGGGTTGAACTGATGACTGGCGTAAAGGATCCAGAAGTTGTCATAAATACAGAATGGGGTGCATTTGGTGAGAAAGGAGAGTTAGACTGTTGGAGAACACAATTTGATAAGTCAATGGATGCTGAAAGTCTTCATCCTGGAAAACAACTGTTAGTTTTTACTTACTGAACTTCAAAATTCATTCAAATGACTGTCATTTTATTGTTGGTATAATGTTAGATTGGATTTTTCAAGTTAATTATCTAACTAAGCAACATATTTTGGGGTAGGGTGGGGTGAATTACTTTTTTTGGATAAAAACTAGCATATTACTCTGAACAATTGAACAGTTTCTCCAAGAAGGATTCTGTAGCAAAACTTTAAAAGTTTCTACATTAGTAGTCTCAAGCAATTCTCTTAAATAAATGAGTTGTACATTGGTTTCTCAGAATAAAACTTAGCAGTGAAGTCTGTACATGTGCTACAAAAATGGTCAATGCAAAGCTACTTGAAAGCCATAGCTTACTCATTTTTTCACCCTGTGAAATTTCAGTATTTGATAGTTGACAGTTTTTTAAAATTATTTTTTAATTTATTTTACCTTCATATTACTCTAATTGACTGTTAGCCTTTACAAAGCTAGAAACTAATCAGTATACATAATAGTCTTAATTGGTATAGAAATTGTCTCGTCAAATAAAGTTCAGTGCACTTCTGATTTCTGCTGACTTGGATTAGAACAGGAAAACCTGGAGATGTAGATTCTTTGATGAAGTGGGGCTTTTTTTCAGTATTGTTTGTAAACAATACATCAGGTATAACAGGGAATTAGCTTTCGATATGTGTATCATATGAAAGGGTGACAGTTTCGGTCCAGATTTCATTTGTCATATTCTAGCCTTCATATTCTAATGCTAATTTAGAGTGTATCAGCCTAGGATTTCAAGAAGAAAATTCTTCTTACTAACTTTAAAGTAGACTAGCTTTCTGTAGCTTACTTCTCTAAGATTATATTTGGACTAATTAGGTATCGTTCAGTTGTTTGGAGCTGCTCTGGGCAACCTTTATTTTATTCACATGTGTCAACAGTTGCGTTAGAAACTAAAGACGGGGCAGTTTTATTTTCAGCATACAATTTTTACAAGTTGATTTACATTGCATGTCTTCATCTCTATTCTTCATTCATCAAACATTTGGAACTTTATCCACATAAGTTGGTAATCAGACGATTTGGAATCGGGTCCGGATTGTTATGTAACCAAATTAAAGGTTACAATATTTCATTTTCATACTGTTTCTATACCCATGAGTAGTTTCCGTCCTTTGCCTTTTCTTATAGATTTGAAAAAATGGTATCCGGAATGTATCTCGGTGAGCTAGTTCGTCACATTCTTGTTTACTTGGTTGAACAAAAGATTCTGTTCCGAGGAAAAGTACCCGAACGTTTACAAGTACAGAACGCTCTATTAACTAGATACTTAACAGATGTCGAAAGGTTGGTTAGGATTCCTTTAAAAAGTGAATTTTTAATATTTTGTTGACATATCTGCTGATTTATTTTTAATGACCAGTTCTCTATAACCAAAAGAACGTGACTAATGTGCTTTTAAGGTTTTCATTCTAGACAAATCATTTACTTGTACAAAAAGCCCTTGACCATTACAGTTTGAAAATTTGAAATGAACTTTAATAAAAATAAAATTCTATGTTGAATATAAAAGTAATGAAGTATCGTTTACAGAGATCTAGACTTTATCTGCGTTATGATGTGCAAATATCGTAACTATTGTGTACCTTTCTTGGGTGTGTACCTTAAACTAACTCTGAGTAATGCAAAATGTATGATTTCATTCGCCTCTAATTTACCCTTAAAATCTAGTTTTAACGGTTTCTGCACAGCAAAGGATATGTTTTTGTCTTGAAAAATACAAAAAACAACGGTAGTTAATTATTGATAAACACAAATGTTTAACAATGTTCTAGCATAGTGAGGGGGGTCAATCACGTTCCAATACTACTCAAAAAGTATTGATTAAAACTTACACATGTGGAAATAAAATAGGGTAATTATATTGTGCTGTTGATCGCAATTTATGCGGAGATCCATTCTACTCCTTGTTTTGCTTCTTTTTTCTTCCTAACATGGTTTTGCAGGTTTCCTTCCACATCTATTCCAGAAGTCCCAGTGTTCTTCCACGTAGGTTTCCTCAGGGCTGTTGCCTAGTGTCTCCCATTTTGTCCTCATCACTGACGACGTGAAGACGTGCTTTTAAGTTTCGTCCTTCAGCTTCTCTTCTGCATATTGAACTTGAACTGTGGTCTGTGACCAGCCTTTTTGGAGACATTCAACTTGATTCTGAATGTAGGTTCCTTGCACTAGATAATGAGTGGTGTGAAACTAGATCTGCTCTCCTTCTTTATCTGATCTCGTGTCCGGTGGACTGCGTCTCCATCTCCACTTTCTTCACATTCAGATGAAGTCGATGTGATTTTTAGTACAGTATGTCCATCTAGCGAAATGCATCTTGTTGCCTTGTGAATATCCTTGTGCTTGTACACACTACCTACAATCACCAAATCGTTGAGTGCGCAGAAGTCTGCAAACAGTTCTCCATTCTCATTCATTTCACCAAATGCTTTTCGACCCATGATTGCTTCTCTTCCTGTGTTGTCCACTCCCAGTTTGCCATTCATGTCATCCATTTGAATTAGTTTTATTGTCGCCATCTGTGATGGGGTCTTGTCCATTGCTGATTGCAGTTGTCTATGGAATTCCTTCTTCTTCTCTTCATCTGCATTATTTGTAGGTGCGTAGAGTAGAGTAGCATTGTATGATTGTCACTCTTCTTCTTTTTGGTTTGAATCGTGCCGTCATGATCCTGATGCTGAAGGGGATTTGCTCCCACTGCGTGAGAGCTCTCGATGGTGTTGGAAGGGGACATCATGATAGCCAGTCGAAAACTGAGTGTGCTCGTGGTTGTCGTGTGGGTGACAGTATCGGAGTAGATTACTGACCCCTCTCCAGTGACAGTTTGGAGAGTCCACTTCCATTCCATCTGCTTTCGTAGATTCGTAGCCTAGCTAGCACTTCTATCCCATATCTTCTCATCTGTTTTGCAATCTTGGCAGCTTTGGTAGGTTCAAACATTGTGTGGACATCCCATGTCCCCATTCTTACTTTTGCTTTCATTGGGGGAGAGGAGACACATTGGCCAATTGACTTGCCGAAGACATTCATCTTCATCAACCGGTGTCATTTCGTCTCCACGATTCCAACGAGGAATAAGTTTAGTTTTATTTGCTTTATTTTCTTTGTGCTTTGAAGTTCCTGTAACAGTTGGATTGATTTTCTGGGTTAGGGTTGGTAGCCCTATGCCTGACCTTCCCTCTTTATCCGGGCTTCGGACTGGCTGGTAACTAGTGAACTAGTTAACCAGGCGAGATTGCACCTCTCTTTGCTTGAGTTTAATAGGAAGTGTAGTTTGATCGCTCATGTATGCGATTATTTTTTTTAATACCATATTAGTTATCGATAAGAAATATCCACTGGTAATTACAAACCTTTTTCTATCATCATATCTGTTTTAATATTTATATACACAAAGCTAAGTTTCAGAAAATCTTTATTTATTTTAGAGATCCACCTCACCTTTTGTACAACACATATTATATGCTTACTGAAGATTTATCAGTGCCTATCGTCGAACCAATTGATAATCGCATTGTACGATATGCTTGTGAAATGGTTGTTAAACGAGCAGCATATTTAGCTGGTGCAGGTGAGTTAAGCATAGAATTTATTTACAACTTTTTAACAAGATAACATTTATTGAACATATATGGTTATCAAATTTTTCAACCTATGTATTTATAGGTATTGCTTGTATCCTCAGAAGAATAAATCGTTCAGAGGTAACTATTGGTGTTGATGGGTCTTTGTATAAATTTCATCCAAAGTTCTGTGAACGAATGACTGATATGATTGATAAATTGAAGCCGAAAAACACTCGAGTAAGTTATGTTGATTACTTTCTTTATATTTAATATATGATAGATTTATACCACTTTCTTTCCATACATATGTATAATAATAGTGATTCTTAGCATAGGCCTAGAAGTAGATAAGTTATTATGGGATGAATAAATTGGTGATTTGATCCATTTCCATTAAGTTGCAAAAATTTACCAATACGTTCTTATCCCCTGAAGTTGAAAATATAAAGATTTAACGGTATCTAACTGAATTGTAGAGATTTGTTAGAACTATTCCTGTTATTCATTCAAGAAATAGTGACTTAAACTATGATGTTGAGGTGAATATTTACAGTCACAAATTTAAATGATCTGATGAAATGTTTCTCATAACCATAGTTCAAAATTTATAAGAGAAATAAAGTTGATGCTCTCAGTCTAGTATATGAAATAAATGTCACTACTTAAAGTTGATTTACAATGACTGCGTTTTACTGTCTTTAGAAATAACTAGTTAAATTTAGCATCATGCGATAAAATAGTTCGAGAGTGTTATATTTTTATGTATTGACGTATAATCTGATGAATACGAACGTAACACTAAAGTATTACCAAAGTAAATGTCTTAGCTGTCAATAGTCATTGAACTCAATAAATTTAAGAATGCAATATTCTCATTGGACAATGTCGTTTAATTCAATAGCCTACTGTGTTTATCACGTGGTATTTTAAAGGGAATTGTTGGGAAACTTTAAATTCAAGCTTGGTACTTTTTGGAATTCATCTGTAAAACCCTATCCCTAAGTTTGATGATTTTTGTACCATTTATAATTTTATGTTAAGCGACCTTCAGTACCACATCTACGGGTGTTACTTTTAGACTGTTTAGATATAGAGTTATTATTGTCGAATGGATCAAAATCAACTACGCTACGTCATATTACTGAGCTCTATGGCTACACATGGTTACTCAGACAGTTATAAATATTAGAATCTTTCATTTTCCTTACATCTTAGTTAGCAGTTAGTAATACAAGTTTACTGAAATCGTGGTGTATTATGCCGTTACACTAAGACAAAAGAATGAATATCTTCGACGATAAATCATGTACTGTATTTATAGTTTTTTTTATAGGATTGTTAGAAAGGGTCATTTGATAATATATTGATTTTACAGCTGTAACAACAGCTTTAGTCGTCTGGCGACATATTTCCTAAGATGTAATTCAATTTTTCGACATATTCTTGGGGTGAAAATGGAGAATCATTTTATTCAAGAATAAATATGGGCTACTGTCTGTTACTGTACATACATATATAACAAACTAGAAACATAATAAAATACTGTGAACTTGACACTCACACAAATGGTTTAATGATCCCAGAGAATCAGTGTAATCATTTATCATGAGAATATAAATGAGTATCGCAGCATACCTTTATTCTAATCACTCAATTTTTTCCTTGTTTTCACAGTTCTGTTTACGTTTATCTGAGGATGGTAGTGGTAAAGGAGCAGCAGCGATAGCAGCATCATGCTTACGATCCTAGTAACAAAAGCATATGTCTACCCATCTATTTATATACATATGCAAGCAAGAATAAACTTTGGTTAAAGTTATTTCTCTGTCATTCTTATTGCATGTTATTATTGTTTTATAAAAATGAAAACTGGCCCTTTACTTAGTTTAGCTGCTTTGATTGTTTTATGATCATCATTTTGAACACTTTATAACTTGAAGCCTATTAAATGTAGTTTTGCTGTGAACGAAGAAAATAAAGGAAAGAGAGAAAAGAAACTAGTGCAACTATTCTGATCACTACACAATAGTTCATAATCTAATTTCTTTTTTTTTACAATTACCCTTTTCTATTTTATCATCTACTCACTGTCGTCATAACTTTGATTTCTTTATTAACTAACTGTTCAAATTTCTTTCTATCCATTAAAGAAGGATGCTTTAAATGCTCTTTCACAGTTTACTGACAATTTCTAGTCAACCCGTTATTATTATTATTATTATCAATTGGCATGTTGTGATGTATACCTTCTTTCTGTTTCTTTTTCTTCTTTTCAACTGAACGATTGTATTTCTGTACTCTTTGACTTGAATAGAATAAAAAGGAAATGAGTAACTAGATAGATACCGCAAGAATTTTTAAATGAAAGCTCAGATAGATTAGATACACACACACACACATACATACATACAAATACGTACATTTATACATATATAACATTTATTTTTCAATTCTTGTAGAAACATTTACATGTATACTAAAGTCTTTATTGTTATAAAACAGAAGTCTTAGTTGAAATAGAAGGACTATTGTTTTAATTAGAGAAAACAGGTATACATTTTTGTCTCTCTATTCTTAAAAGAAGATTATAGACAAATATCTTTTTATTACCATTATTATTACTGTTATTACTGCAATAATCTTATTTTTACTGATATTATCACTGTCATTATTGTACACGTATCTTATTCACAACTAACTACTCATGTTTAGTGGAGGAATTTCAACAATAACAGCAACAACTTTATGACTAACAATCAGATTCAGTTTATTATTTTTTTCTTAGGGATTTGTGATAAATTTTGTTCATTTATCGATTTATTTTCTTGTTTGTATGTGTGTGTGTGTGTGTGCATGTTAAGTCATGCGATTCAGCAGCGAATTCAAAAGGGAAGATAAGAAGATAAAAAAAAAGTCTTCTGCTATGCGAAATTTTCTGTTTATATTATAAACAACTATTCGTTCATTTTATACATTTGTATATCAAGAGGTATTCATATCTTACAACTTGCACGATTTGGTTAGAACAATTGTATGTCTCTTTTTGGGCCAAATATATCCGTTTTTATATTTCATTCTGAATTTTTGAAATTTTTCGCTTTATATAACAGTCAAATACCTAGTTGCTGATGTTTGATTAAATATCAGCAATAGGTACGGTATATGGTATTATCGGTGAACTGATTAATTTGTTAGAGAGAAGTTTTATTGACATAAAAAGCTTTTGATGGTGTTATCTTCTGTAAGTTGGATGGTTGAGTCATGAAGCTTTCATTGTCATTCTAGACAAGAATCGAGGTATAAGATTTTTTTCACATGTGGCTTAGTAGCTTTTCCTGATGACCTTGAGTATGACTAGTGGTTTCTGTTAAGATCTCGTCATTGTGTCAATATGTATTTCCATTGGTTGTACTTGATGACATGAACTTTGAACTTCCTGTTTTTTTTGCTTATTTTTTATGGCTCTGCTCAATGTCAGTATGCCTACTGATCACTGACTGGAATCAATGTCAGTATTCTAAGAATCCTATGGCATTCTTTATATTTCCTCTTTCCAGGATTTTCTCATTTTCCCAGTCAAATTTATGTCCATTAGTCTCTGTATGTATTCATTTGAGCAAAGATATATCGTGAAGCTTCACTGCTAGTTGGTGTTCATATAGACTGATATGGAGAGGGTGAGCACTCTGTCTTATTTAGTGTTTTCTACAGTTTCAACAGTTCACTTTGTTGATAACGTTTGGTTTACCTTCTTCCATTATTATATCTTATAGCCTACATAACAGAAATTCAAGAGATTTTGTGGGGTTATAAAATAAACGGATTCTAAAAGGCTTTAACAAACTAGCTGTGATCTCGAAGACGTTCTTCGTGTAAGGTAAGACAATGCGTTTGTTGGTCCCAAAGAATGACTTTTAGTTGACAACAAATTAGACAAACATCTTTTGAGGAAGTCGCATGAAGCAGTCATTAAACAGTTTTTTTTACTCTGCAAGGTTGATACATTACAGTGTATCTTTGCTCTCCTGAACATTGTTGTTATGCAAATGATTTCGTGTGCATTAAGGTATATTAAGCATCAAAGACTGTATATTCGGATATATAAAAGTGTATATACTTTGTTGCATATTTAGTTCCTTTTTATCTCTTCTTTCGACAATTGTTTAGATTACGCTCATAGTTGAAGTTTGCCTAAATAATATCGCCTACAGATTGACCACCCGTTTTGTACTGTTTATTATTACTGACCAATATATCATACGTCTTCTACTAGAGTTATTGTGCTTTCCAAGAGTAGACAACTTAATGGAGCTAACTTGATATAACTTATAATATGTTGCATGTAAGGTAGAAAACGTTACAATATTGTTAGGATACGTTTGTGACTTCAAGATCAAATTTCTCAATGCAAATGACTGAATCCTAAACTATCAGTAGTAAGTAGTTATTTAAAGTTGTTTATGATATAAAAACAATTATACTAAAACTATACCCGTCGCACAAGAAGTGGCTGTCGTGGCCAGGTGGTGTAGTGGATAACGCACTGGCGTTTGGAGCGGTCGCTCCCAAGTCCGAATCCCGGTGGGAACAACACTCACTGGGAAGCGGGTACATCCAGCTGACGAGTCCCAGACGGGACGAAATGTGCTTCCTGGATTCCACTGCTAGCCACAGTCAATTACTTACATAATTAGAACGCTTGCCATATCTAGGCATCCGCACAGTAGCCCATATGCCAACAGAGACCGATCAATTCGGTCCAATCAACGACGGTATGATATAAAAACAATTATATTATTATTTACGTTTACTCTACGAAAATATTTTGCATTAACTGCTTTCATTTCTAGCTTTGTTGTTATCATGGATCAGGTATTTCCATTAGGAATTAAAGAAAAATCATCTTGAAGCAAATCCCAAGTTATTTTCCAAATGAGTATTTCTACTGATTATGGAATAGTGTAGTGAGTGCAAAGGACTGCTGAAAGTCATAAAGCGATGAACGGCTGTCTCAACTGAGTTTGATTATGGATCTAATCTCCGTCATAGTAATCAGATAGTTAAACTTTAAAGAGTACAGATGTCAGTAAATTAAAAAGTTATTATCATCCTTAGTAGGTATAAGATGGTGGTGAGTGCATTATAAAACATTTCAAACAGTATGATGAATAACTGCAAAGTATGAGGAGCAGGAAGTGGGGCATGCCCTGTTCGACTGGTGAAAAGCCCCTACACGATTTGGATTTCGCAGATGACTTGTGTCTAACGTCATAGTAACTTGAAGATCTACAGGCGAAAATTAATAAGTTGGTAGAAGAGGCGAAATAAGACAGCGAAGACAGAACTCCCATCAGGTGAACATCGAGAAGACAGAGGTGATGTAGATACCGAGCCAACAACAACAACAAGCGCCAATCACATTCAAAGGGAGAGATTTAAACAAAGTTGTCTCTTTCACCTACTTACCTACCTAGGCAGCGTCGTTTTCACTACAGGCAGCGGTGGCGTAGATGGGGATGTCAAAGCCAGAATCGAAAAGGCAGCAAGACAGGCCTTCATTCACTAATCTGAAATCAGTGTGGAGATCTACTGAACTCCACTGCACTGCGCTCAGCATAAAGCGTGAACAACAGCCGGATTTCCAACGCTGACTTCAGTCAAGTCAGTGCTTCTGTGTGATGGTTGAGAGATATGGTGCTTTACGGAAAGAATTTCCAACAAACTACATACATTCATCACATCAACAGCTGCCAACTACGCTCACTCACTCGATACTGAAGATCACATCAGATCAGATCAGATCAGATGGTCAGAAAGAATAAGTAAGAAGGAACTCTGACTGGCTAGCAACAAACCAACCAAGAAGTTATCACCTAACAATATGCAGAACAAAGTGGAGATGGATTGGATTGGACTGGACTGGACTGGGTATACACTGAGAATGTGGTTTGGGGACATCACGTGCCGGATCAGGCAGGCCAGGCTATCGAGTGGAAGCCAAATTGGGAACGACGACTTGGGCGTGTGAGGGTGACATGGAGGAGATTGTGTGAGGAAGAGATGAAGGCTGATGGGTAGTTGTGGAGGCAGGTTGGAGAGACTGTTGAGAAGAGAGTGAAATGGTGATGTGCTAGTGAAGCTGTATGTTTCACTAGGAACCCAAGGGACAAATAATAATAATAACAGTAGTGAATAAATCTGACAACCTAACAGGATACACTGTTACTGTAAATGAGTTATTCTGAGGTATATTATTTTGTGAATTTCAGTTCAAACAAACTTATGTGAAGACATACATATATATGTTGTTTGAGATTTATAGGGATTTTATGTTTGAGGTTTGATTTATCACTGATTGAAATCAGTTGGGGATCCCATTGAAAATCTGGCGGCAACCAACGGCTGTTTTGTCATGGTATGGCACTGCTCATCAGTGAGTATTCACGACCGCCTGCTGGTTATCAGCTTGATCCCTGACGATTTCGTGGGTATATTCTGCTGAGAAGTCTCAGGTTCTCATTGGTTATCCAGATGATGCCACACGGTTATGAGTACAACCTATAAATATATATATATATATATATATATATATATATATATATATATATATATAATTATTATTATTATTATTATCATTATTATTAGTCCCTTGGGTTCCTAATGGAACATAGGGCTTCACTAGCACGTCTCCAGTGACCTCTGTTCTCTGAGATCTTTTGAACCTGGTTCCACGACAGCCCACAACCTCT